GGTTTAACAGGCTGAAGTATAGGACCTCAAAATCTAAGGGCATCCAGCCCAGGTCTATAAAATTTTCACGCTGTCATAGGCCTTTCTTATATATATATATATATATATATATATATATATATATATATATATATATATATATATATCTGTGTGTAAAAAAAGGGTGGATTTTTATTTATTAATCCTTAAGATTTCTATTAATTAAACGTTATTTTTAGTGGATACTCGTATTTAAGTAGACGATCTTTTCATTCATTAAACGGTATATTTATTTAGTTATCATCGTCTACCGGCCTGAATATTCGAAACATCTTATTAAAAAGAAAGAGCGACAGCATATTTTTCTTTAATAAGATTTCTCGAATATTCCGACCAGTTGGCGAACATAAATAAATATACTGGTTAATAAATAAATGGAGCGTCTACACAAATACGAGTATCCACTAAAAATGATGTTTAAAGTGAAAAAATCTGTCAGATTAATTCATAAAATCTCCACTACTCTTTAGAAATTGCTTTGATTACGTTTGGATAGGAAAGTCGGCAGATATGAATATTTCAGGAGGAAATTTCGAGAGGAATTTCGGTTTAAGGCGCTATTCAGTCTTACCTGAATTGGCGAAGTTCTTTGTAGCTCAGTCGGCCTAGAACACGTTGGATCTAACGAAGATTTCCTCTGTTCAAGGCGGGGTCGCCAGTTCGTATCTTGCCAGAGAGCTCTTCTTTTTTTTTTTAATAAGATTTCTCGAATATTCAGGCTAGTAGACAAAAATAAATAAATGTACTGTTTACTAAATAAATGGGGTAAGTACGAGTATCCACTAGAAATAACGTTTAAAGTAATAATATATATGTGTGTGTGTCATGAAAAGTTCTCGGCCAGACCAAGGGAATGACGAAAATGAATTTCTAATCAACATATTCACCCCACAGTTCAGCGCATTCGGTATATCTTTTCTTGTGTTTCTCTAACCCTACCAACATTTCTTTTGATCTCTAGTGACTGATTTGGGGAAATGGGTCGGCCCGATAACTAGAAGGTAGCAGTGCTGAAAATCTGTCGGCCCGACTTACTTCACAAAATCTAACCAAACGCTATAAACGGTCATTGCACGCCAGGCTCATGTATTGGTTCTGTATAGGATATAGGTTCGATTCCTGTCAGAGGACGCATATTTTCTACGAAATTACTCGAACACTCAGGCCGGTAAATGTAATTAATGCTGTTTAGTTAAAAGAACAGAGCATTTACTCAAATAACGTATAAACAGCAAATATATTAAATATTTGTCGGATTTAATCCATTTATTTATTTGTGTGTGTATATATATATATATATATATATATATATATATATATATATATATATAGAGAGAGAGAGAGAGAGAGAGAGGGGAGAAAAAGGAAGAATAAAAAGCTTTTCAAATAGATAGATGAGGTAAGAGACAAGATTGTTTTAAGTCAAAGTTAGTCACTTATGGTTCGCTAAACATGTGTTCTTAAATATCTGTCGCAACTTGCATATAACGAGAAATAAAAAAAATGATTTACAAATAAATTGATAAATACAGGGTAGACCGAAAATTTCCAAAGTATTTTCCATATTTAATAACTCCTTTATACTTTTATTTTAAATTTACAATACCATCATGGACAAGAGGCAAATTTGCGCTCAGTGGAAAAAAATCACATCCCTTAAATGGAGCCAATTAATTAAAAACAAAATTGACAATGTTTAACCTCCGTGTTTGCAAGGGAAAAAAAAAACAGGTGTCAAAAGGATGATTATTACCTTCATATCATTACTGTATACAATCGTGATTCCCTCGGCAATTTTTTATTAGTTTAAAAAGCAAAATAGATATATGTTTATTCAAGTCGTGTTGTTTTATAGTTCATTGGTATTCTTATAAAATTATGAATAAAAAAAAACTTATTTTCATATTCCTTTTTTAAAATGATAAATAATAAATATTCCATTGTAGTTGGTTTAAATATTTTGATCATTTGGTGACTTTTTATAAATTTCTGAATAAAAACATTTACTTTATAAAATGGTAAATAATAAATCTTTATAAAAAGTAAATAATAAATAATGCATTGTATTTGGTTCACAGTTTTTTATAATCTTGTTAATAAATATTGCTGAGGGAGTCAAAAGTATATTGATGTCAAAGAAATAACCGTCCTTTTGACAGGCCATTTTTTTTTTCTTGTTTTTTTTTTGTTTTTGTTTTTTCTTCTTGCGAGCACGAAGGTTAAATGTCGCCTAAATATGTGTCGAAATTTCAGACACCGTCGTGAATTTTGGCATGCAAAATAGTTTTGAACGCCTATCAATAAAAAGCGTTCAGTATTTAATAGTGTATCCATTATTTGATGTGACATATGTCAGACGTTTTGAATAAACAGAGTTGATTTCTTACTAAAAATCAACACTAATTTTATTCCACTCTAGTTAACAAAGAAAAGGGTTTTCTTTTTCAGATTCCCATGAAACATTCAAAATTTAAGCTCCTTCCACAATTTTCGATAAAATTTAAGTTAAGGGAACTAACGTGACCACTCCAAAAACAAGTCTTTCGTTTTCGCTTCAGTATTCTTGAGACGAGAATACCATGGAATTAACATGCGGGCAACGAGGTTTTTAAAAAAACGGAAACGAAAAAGGCATTTATATTTAGAATCGGAAAGAAAGACAGTTGAAATTTCGGCAAACATGGATAAACGTGCCCGCAATAAGATGTAATGTCAAAAGGACGGTTTTTCCCTATCATATCTATATTTTACCTAACTTCACTCTTCAGCAATGTATATTGTTTTAAAAAGCGATTGTTAAAATTGTAATAAAACATAAAAATATGATGAAAGTGAATTTATACATTTCTTTTAGAATTTACAACAAAAATATTAAACATTATTTATTTGTTAGATAATAATTTTATATTTAAAACATTCTAGAAACTAATACAATTAATTAGAACTAATGCAATACAATATTTATCATTTACCAATTTATATATATATATATATATATATATATTTATCATATATTTGATACATAATTAGTAAATATATATGCAGATGATGCCACAGTTGGCAAACATGGACCTTCATGCCTGCAAAAGGACAGCTTTCCCCTTGAGACCACTTTTATTTTAACTACTTTCACCCTGTGGCCATGATATTGTCTTAAAAAGTGATTATTAGAATTTAATAAAACATAAACATATGAAAGTTAATTCATGCATTTTCTTTGTTCTTGGTAACAAAAATAATAAACACCACTTATTTATTAGATTTTTTACTTACACTATTGATTATATTATTTATTGGATCGACTAATTGCCATTTGATTCAAACTTTATAAAATGGTAAATAAAAAGAGTATCCTTATAGTTGGTTCACATATTTCAATTTTATTTCTTTATAAATTGGCAAATGATAAGCATTGCACTCCATTTAATTCTAATTGTATTACAGTGTAACCCGGATATATGAGAAACCCGGATATAAGAGAGATCTTCTCTGATCCCAAATTAGAGCTATAATTACCTAAACAAAATAGACCAAACCCGGATATAAGAGAAACCCGGATATAAGAGAAACCCGGATATAAGAGAAACCCGGATATAAGAGAAACCCGGATATAAGAGACTTCTTCTCCGGTCCCGACAACTCTCTTATATCCGGGTTACACTGTAGTTTTTTAGAATGTTTTCGACATAAAATTATCCTTGAAAATAAACGATCTAATAAACAAATAGTGTTTAATATTTTTGTTGCAAATTCTCAGGAAAAAAAAATGTATAAATTCACTTTCATCATGTGTTTAGGTTTCTAATAATCGCTTAAAAAATCGCCAAAGAGTGAAAGCAGTTTAAAAAAACAAAACAAAAAAGCGGTGTCATGGGAAAAACGATCCTTTTGATATTACGTCTTATTGCGGGTACGTTTGCCGAAATTTCTAGGTCACATAATAAGGAAATAGAGTTTAGAGAACTTGACACTCGCGGGACATGTTGAAGACAAAGGAGACAGAGGAAACAACGAGTAACCTACATAGAGAGCTTGTACAAAAAAATGGAAGAACAGGGACTGGAATGGATGATTTAAAGGCAAACCTTACTAAGAACTACATAAGAAGTTGTGGAAAGCTTTGCTCGCCTATGACCTGAAGGGACAAGTAACATAGATGATGATTCCTGGGATCGTTATCTTTCTGAAAAATCCAACCTTTGAGGTATTTCACTGATGGAAGCAGAATTTCATGATACACAGCACTCTCCACCCTAACACGCGATGATGCAACACGGAAGAAAAACCAACCATTAATAGTTCCACTACCACCACTGTTTTTAAATTTGTTATTTTATGGGTCATATGAAATCTTTCTTTTTATAGATGCGCTTCCAACTGTTTTCATCTAAGAGTTCGATTTTTAGTCTCGTCCAGATCATAACATTTTGCCCAGAACAAAGCGGGCTCCTCGAAATGATGATGAGCCAAATGTAGACAGACCTCCACGCGATTATACTTCAACGATGGGATCTTTCAAGAAATCAAAGAATGCTGTCCTACCCGGTGGAGTGCCCGAGTAATTACGACCGTGCTCCCTTAAGTGGCAGCTGCTTACAGGTCCTCCTGAAGTTCTACTCGAGATCTGAATGGCTTGTGCCTTATTTTCCGTCATATGGATCTGCTCGTTCACTTACTTTATGAGTGCGTGCTTTTAGAGGCTAGTCGGTAATCAGGACATGTTACTTCCATTTTCAAATGGTTCTAATCGGTAGAGAACTTTTGATATACCATTCCACGATGATGGTTGTAATTTATCACCTCCCGAAATTCTTGAAAAAGTTTCTTTTTGCCTTCGCCATTATGAAAACTGTCACACGAACTCGTTCAAAGTACATATAAGCGTTGTGAGTTATAGGTCATGAGTGGCATGTTTTAAAATTGGTAGGTTAAAAATTTGAATAGAATTTACAGTGACATCACGTTGAAACACCGGTTCCCATACGAACACCGAAGTTAAGCAACGTCGAGTTTGGTCAGTACCTAGATGGGAGACATCTTAGGAATACCAAGT